TGGAGGAGCTCAAGGCAATACCCAAAAGTGCATTTCAGAAGTGTTTTGACGACTGGAAAAAGCGCTGGCACAAGAGCTTTTGTATCAGAGGGGGATTATTTTGAAGGGGATAACATAATTTTGGATGAATAAATGAACATTTTTTTATAATAATGAAAAGTCACCTTACTTTTTGATCACACCTCGTATCTGATTGATCTTATAATACACTTATAATACAAGTTTTAATTGTATTTTTTCATGCGCAATCGAATTCCGAGCTTAGATTTATGTTAAAATATTTTTTTTCCGCCCAAAACACGAAAAACACGATTTTGCAATTTAAATTGTTAATAACAAAAAAATGAACAAGAATTCGGCGTGGTACCCTCGAAATTCGGATTCAGCGACCCAAAAAACATAAAGTTCACCCAAGGTACCGAGGGGACCTCAAAAAAAATACTCTATGGTCACCAGCGCCCGGACTATAAAATATTTTTTAGATAATAACGAATACTCCTGAATCTTTATCTATAATAGATGTAAGAGAAAATCAAGAAGATGAAAAACAATGTGAAAATCTTGCAACAGTTTATAATGAAGATCAAGATGTGGAATGTGAAGTTAGTTTTAAATTAGTAACATTATACTCAAGTAACACGCTATGTCACAATTACAAATTTTAAAGTTAAATTTTGCAAAACTTTCCTCAAGTCTTGTGACATCAACTCTTAACACTATCGTGAAATTGAGCGTTACTTGATAACAGAATTTTTTAAATATTTGTATTACCCAACATATTTGCAGATAATTACGAATACTCGAGATGATGAGTCTTTGCCTATAACTTATTCGGAAGAAAATAAAGACGATGAAATACAGTGTGAACATAAACAATTGGCAGAAAATTTTAAAAAACAACATGTACGAATGACAAACATGAGAAGACAAATGAAAGTGATGAGGAAAAGAATACAATCATTGAAAACTAAGATGAATACTGATAAATACAAAACAGCTCTAAAATCAATTTTCACTGAAGATCAGATCCAATATTTGTACACAAAGAAACGTGTTAAATATTGGTCCCATAAAACAGTTCATCGTGCATTGAAACTAAAATTTCTTTGTGGAAATAATGGCTATAAAGCACTTATTGATCAAGGATATCCATTTCCAAGTTTGCGGACATTAAGACAAAAACTAGAGGATTTTAAATTTGAGCCTGGAATTTCAAATACATTATTTGAATTTTTACAAAATAAGAAAGCTTGTTTTGAAAACGAAGCGGATTTGGAATGCGGTCTAGTATTCGATGAGATGGCGATTACGCAAAAAATTCGTTATAATTCGTCAACGGGATCATTAAGTGGAAACATAACGTTTCCTAACGAAAAAGGTAGAGCATGCGCTTGTTTTTATGCTTGTCGGTATTAATAACAGATGGAAACATGTGGTGGGCCATCACTTTACTGGTAATAGTTTTAATTCAACAACTTTAAAAGATATAATCTTCCAGATAATTACTAAAGCGGAACAAATAGGTTTCCATGTAAATTTTC